TGGGAGGGAGGTGGGACGCAGTGGGAGGGAGGTGGGGGGGAAGGACTCCCTGCCCCCTCTAATTAAACTTGGAGATCCATGATCATATGTTGAAATCTTTTATAGATAGATAAAAATAGATAGCTATGAATCTATGACACAAATTCGAAGTGAAAGGCAAGTATCATTTAATAAAATAAACCAAAATCGCATGGGGGGGAGATAGTGAGCGTGTCCTAACAATGATGTGTACGCAACTGCGTATCTGCATATCTGCGCCTAACAAATGTGTCACTACGCACGACTGAAATTGTACGTTCATAACCGTAGCAACAGACCCCAGATGAGCCCAGACGCTCTGCGGCTCTTGTTTTAAATACATTAAAAACCATCACTATCTATTGCCTAGCAGTCAAGTTTATATATGGCTCTAATTTAACATTCAAGTAGCAAGCTAGTGTACTATTTTGTGTTCCAGTTTGCTAAAAAAAATTGTTTAGTAAAATGTTGAACAAATTTACGTTAAAATCCAATGTATGTGAGCCAACTTAATGTTTACATAGGAAAAGTGAGAGCAGTGTATAACAAGATTTTTGATATTGTAATAATTGGCAACTGAATAATTATGGTTTTTTAATTAATTTGCTGTGCAGAATATTTATGTTCTAGCAATGTGCTGCCATGCAACATAAGATGCTGGTGAGCCTTCATATGTGCTGTGTACATGTTTATTATTCATTATTTTACAGATATTATGATAGAACAAAATCCCAAACACGAGAGAATGCTATCAATAATAAAAGGTATGCACAGTTTTCGTAAGGTGTGTTTACTGTTCTCACTTGGCCATCTTAATGTTCTGCTTTCAATTCAGAAGTGGGATCTAAAGTGAGGATATGGTTATTTTGTCCTGATATTTTAGATGAGCTAACCTGGGCCCAGAAAGACATCTTGGGGGTTAGACAGAAAAATGAGTCATTTTCTACCAAATTCCCTGGTAAAACCTGCACATGTGTATTGTTTGGCTTTAAAGTAACACTCCCTTATTCCCGTAGTAGATGCCAGCTCTATCTGTTCCTAAGCAACGACTTCATCCCAATTGCTTTAATAATCCGTTGTACTAATATGCGCGAGCCTTCTGTTGGGGATGCTGGACTCATGAAGCCTTGTATTATCCTATTACAATCATCAATAGATACTGGCACAAGCTCTAGGGCATCTAGTGGCTGTATCTTTAAGTTAATAAGGGCTAAATGAGGTGTTGGATGACGTGCGTCCAACATATCAATATTTTGTTAGCTGTACAGATACTATCATGTGTGCTGCATTGTACAGTGTTAGCACTCGATACCACTCTGCCGCTGACTGACATTCGCTTCTTTTCAGATGAGTCATCGGAGCCTGTAACATTTTTGATCAACAAAAATCTCAACGTATTGGTTAAGATGTTTACATGTAAGTATTTATAGCAGTCGTGTCACTTGTGAAATTCTCATGCTCTGCATGTTTCAGGCGCGTTCTTATTGCACCTGATGCGGAGAATGCTATAATTATATTTTTCACACTATTTTCAAAGTTTTGTTGCTGAATTCAGAGCCTCATGTCATAGTTTCATAGTTGTTGCTGTGGCGTTGTTAACAACATTTTGTTGTTGTTGTTTGGCTAAATGTGTACTGAAACTGATAGATATCTTTTGATGTAAAGCTACAGCATGTTGATGGACACTTTTTCACTTCCAATTAAATAGCTTATATTATGGAAATGAGATGTGCTCTTGCAAATCTAATGGGGGTGCATTGATGATTCAAGATTTATGGAGTAATCTTAAATGAAAGTATCTTTACATTGGTCATATTAACTTTCACTAAGTAGCTCAATGGTGGTGAATATACAATATTTTACACAAATTGGGTTTATGTGAAGCATTTGTTTTACATCGTCTAACCAATTGCATCTCAAAGCATATTGCTTACGTGGGGCTGTAGTGCCCGGCAAGTCTGCTTCCCCAGTGCCTCGTATGCCTGTGATGGCCTCTTCAAAAACTGTGGTTAGAGTAGCACGCGGTGCTGACATGCCTGCCTTATGCTGCAGTGGACTGCTGCGTGAACCGTCAGTGCTGGTGCTTTGCGTCAAACGGCATGTGCACGGTTGGGCAGGATGAGCTCGTCATCGTGCTCGAGGCCCTGCCAGACGAGGAGATAATACCCTGCGACGTCCTGCTGCACCTCAACAGCATCTACCAGGACGCCAGCCAAGGTGAGGCTCATGATGGCGCTCGTCTTCTCTGTCTCATTAGGGGGCGTGGCAGGCGTTCCCTTGGGTTTAACCGGAAATTCTACAGCACCATGGCAAGTTTAAGGGGCACCGTGGGGAAGAATTTCATTCTAAGAAGGTTTAAGGCTGATTACTCTTTAACAACCCCAGACCTCCCGCATGCGAGGTGGGCACTCTACGATTCAGCCGTCGGTGCGGTACATGGTCCCGACCGGGTCATACCAAAGACTTGAAACATGGTTCACACTGCTTTTCTGCTTAGCACTCAGCAAATAGAGATAGACTGTGGAGAGTTGACTCGCAGTGCTACCAGTGGACTAACCCCCCGCTGTAGTATTCACTGTGAAAGCAGCTGCGTGGCCTCGGGTTGAGGAAACGGAGATAGGCACCGCCCTATGCGCCACATAGGCACGGGAGGGGATTTAACTAACTAACTTATCGTAACTCTTTAACAACGTTTTTATGTTGTAATGTGGGACAAAGAGATTATCGGCAGTATTAAGTTCATGGAAGTGCAAACCAGGTAGGAAAGCTGCTGGTTATTAGCATGAATATCATCACATTTTCAAGACACCAGACGAAGTAAGGAGGGCAACCACGTCACTTGCTCTTGCTGGCGTGGTAAAATTCTAGCCCTGCAGTGCAAGGGCAAAAGCAAGTAGTTGTTCACCGCACTTAATCGTTTTGTTGACCATCAAGAAAAAGCCATTCTGGAAAATGCAATTGCAAATGCCAGAAACACATTGAATGTGGAACTTCGCAAGAAATATTTAGTTTGTGAAATGGAGAAGGAAATGGATGAAAAAAACTATAGCATGGTGTAAATGTGAGGATTCATCTACTGTATTATTTCATTGTAACAGGAAAGCGGGTACACCACATGGGCCATTCCATCTTGGAAACGCCATTTCTGGAGTCACGGGACCATTGCGGATTCTTGTATATGCGGCCGACATTCCAGTGTCTCAACAAGCTCATTGTTCCTGAGGCACCGTACCTGTTTGCTGTGCTCCTGCAAAAGTGGGAGATACCATGGGCTAAGGTGTTTCCTATCAGGCTCATGCTGCGGCTAGGTGCAGAGTTCAGATGTAAGTGGCACTACGCTGAAGTGCTTCGCAAGTGGTTACTGATTCGTGTTTTGATTCGGGAGTTCATGACGCCTCCAATATTGATTATTTTTTGCAAATCTCAAAAGAAAGCTACACGAAAATACATGGGGAACATGGCCAGAGGAAACTGGAGCTCTGTGCAACCTGTGCAATTATTTCTGCGTTTATCAAAGTCCTGAATAGATAGTGTAGAGATAGGGCAGTTGTTAACATTGTTTGTTTATATGTTTGTTTTGCCAGACTACCCCTGTCCACTGGTCAGCGTACGATTCAGAAAGCCTGTTTACTGTGAGATTGGACATACCATCATGAACATTCTAGCAGTAAGTCGAGGCAAAAATATATAGACGATGGCAGGTTTTGTTAGCACGATAGGCAGTGACTAGTTGGACCAAAATGCTATGTGCTTGCCAATAACAAATTTAACATTACTGTTGCAATTCTAGATGTATAGGCATGTATTATCTATCCATGTAGTTAGAATAATGTTGCAGTTGAAATTTTTTCCATGTAGTTGAACCAAACTACTACAAACATTGAATTAAACAAGTCGATGCTTTAACAAGAGACTGATCTTCTGTACAACTAGTTGTATGGCTTAGTAAAGCTGAATAAAAAATGCCACCACATTTCAAATATAATAATTAGCAGCATTATAGTTTGCTAAACTGTGACAGTGATAGTTGTTGGATGTTTCAGCAAGACGATTTTGTTTTTTGAAGTACGATGAAACCTTAAAACTAATATCAATAAGCGTAAATAGAAAATTGGCTGTTGGATTTTTTAATTGCTCCTTTACTTTAGTAACATTTCTACATCTGGATTCAAAAGCTGCAATGCATCTGTTGTTGGCTAGCTAACTCTACATGACATTGTCTTACAGGATTTAAGAAACTATAAATACCAGCTGCCTCAATTAAAGGGTATGACCATCCACATGGAGGACAAGAAGACCTACATTAACTTCCCCCGAAATCGATACAATGAGGTACTACATGGTAAAGCTGTGAAAATGGATGGTTATTAAAAAGATAGTATCTGAGGAGTGTGACAAATTTAATCATAGGTGACATGCATAACTGGTTTGCACTTCACAAAATATTGAAAGTTCAAGGATGTATATCCATATTTCTATCGTGCACTTGTATTTATTACTTGCGGTAATTTGTTACAGATAATTAAAGTTGTTAATAACAGTAATGACCACGTGATGGCGCTAGGGGCAAACTTTAGCAAAGAAGCAGACTCCCATCTTGTGTGCATACAAAACGATGATGGTAACTACCAGACTCAGGCTATTAACATTCAAAACAAGCCCCGCAAAGGTAAGCACTACATAATTAGTTTTTATTAGTTTACTATGTGTTCGGTGAAAACACCCTCGCTATTTATCTACATGGATACCCAATACGACATGTACAGTATATATGTTCAAGACATTATGGTCATGTTCACTAGTAATTTACGAAGATATTACATGAGGAGGACACAACAAATAAATCTCTCGTACGTTAATATTGCTAACCTTACAACACATTGGCATTAGCAATATTCTAGTCGAATATATGCGCAGTTGGTATGTGGCTCATTTCACAAGTGTTGCTGCTGCATGCAATCTGACTCGGCTTAAGTCGTGAGATTTCACCCAGTGATGTGTAAATATATATATATACATATATTCTCTGCTATGTGTTTTTCCCCTCATCTACACATGGTGTGATCTGCTTCAGTGACGGGAGCGAGTTTTGTTGTGTTCAACGGCGCGCTGAAGCCAGCGTCTGGACTGACAGCTAAGTCGAGTATAGTTGAAGATGGGCTGATGGTGCAAATCGTACCTGAAGACATGGCCACCCTCAAGCAGCTGCTGAGAGAGATGAAGGGCTATACGATAGGTGTGCAATACCCTCCCTCACCTCTATAGGCTTACTCGTCTAATGTATTACTGAGCAGCTCCCTTACTGCCACTTGTAACAACTCCACTTCACTAACCTGTGCAACTACCCTCTGCAGGATATCTTCAAACTATTGACTTAAAGGTGATAGAACCACATGTGGACCATTGCCACAGCTAACAATTTGATGCTAATTTGTCTCAGTTTACAGCTATATCTCTCCTCCCCCCCCCCATACTCATTGGATATTTGTCACATAAGAGCTTGTCACGCAGGTATTTCTTTGTTCAGTGAAATTAGCTGTTTAGTTTCAAATGTTCATTCGTTAATGAACGTACACGTTACCATCTACTTCACTCTGCAGGATGAATTACATGTCAAACAAACTGCCTGTTAAATTCGACAGCTCGACCCATACTAACAAAAATATTGGGTGAAATTACAAGTTTGCCTTTTTCCTCTGGGATGAACATGTGCAAAGAACAAACATACCAATTATTTCAGGATGTGGAGCAATAGCAGCGAGCCAGCCAGACGAGGTTGTGGAGATACGATGGGTGGAAGATGATAAGGATGTAAATATTGGGTGCGTAGTGCCGCTGTACGCTGTCATGACACGTGACATAGTACTACCTCTGCTCTGGTTTGGTGTAGATAAAATTAAAATGCCATGTAGGGTACAAGTTCTGTACGATAATGAATTGTTCTTATTACTTGTGAATTTATTGAGCAATTGTCTTTTATGCAGCTGGCTAAAAGTAGTGCCTATGATGTAAATGTCGGATTATTTATACTGGGTTTCATTATGTTCACTTGTCAAAAAAAATTCCCCTAACCTGTGCTCAACTTATACATGTTTGCACATGTGCAAAGAAGCTGCAGTTTACTCCAGTGCAGCTCTATAAAGTTTACCACTTTTTGATTGCGTTTATTTTTGGCATGCGGTGTAGAGTGAAAAGCCAGATTGATGGAAGACTGATGGATGGCGTGACAAGCCTGCGTATTCACAACAGCACTGATTACCTAGGAGACTCTAGGGTGATACGCTGGACTGAAGTCTTTCTACTGCAGGTGCCAGATGGCAGCTCAAGAAGGTGAGGATGTACATGTGTGCCACACTTGGAGTACAGGGCGTGTATAGGTGGCGTCACTATAATCAGCTTTTTACTTCAAGTCTTATCGTGTAAAACAACAAACAATCAAAAGGTTTATTTGCATCACTGATACAGATGTGTGAATGCAATGAGATGAGTTATTGGAAAAGCATAATAAATGCAGTTAACCAGATGGTGATGTCATTTATACATTTTGCAATGTACACGTCTGAGTTTCATTTCTCTCGTGAAAGCGTTGGTAATGCAAGGCAGCCCCAACATCTCCCGACCTAGGTAAATTACAGTGATCTAATGTGTAGGTTTCTTTTATTTTTTATTACATGGGTTTTCCAGTTGGTAAGTTGCATAGAACAACTGTTTTTACGCTATACACTTTTCTAACTCTCTATACATTACATCTGGGTTCATTATGATGAGTCCATTTTCTAATATATACGCTCCTGTGTTTCAAAACCCTGGTGTCATTTTTCATGGAAAATTATGTGTATTTATTGTACGAATGGTGGATTATAAATTCAATTTTCCATATATCTTGCATTGATTTGTCACAACATTGATTAAAAAATCAGGTGATTGACATATCTCTCAGGTCGTAATGTAAATTAATGTCAGCATAACTATTTTAATGTTTTGTCACCTGTTTATGTGATTGGTTCATTATGTTTTCTCAGTGATTCTGCACATTTTATTTTGCCATTATGTCAGGTCATTGGCTGTGTTCCAGCCATGTACCATTTTTAACATGTTTAATATGAAAATTATAGCAGAACCTGACTGACTTGTAGATACCATTGGCCAGCAGTGTCGTTGGCGTAAATTGCCATGAAGAATGTAGAGGCGTTTCGGAGCAGGAGATTTAGTAGCTTTTCAGTGGCTTCTTCCAATCACCCATTCTTATTAACAGCATGATTCATTTAATCATTACTAATGATATAACTAAGCACTGCATGTCATTTCTCAGCTTGGCCTAGCCCCTTTTCTATATGAATGTGAAACATGTCATTGTGGTTTACATTGATTGCATTATGAATGGGTGTTAAAGGTGCCTTGACTTCATAACTTGAAAGATACCAGCCAACTACTATCTATTGCGGCTTACTAACATCTTATTTTCAAAACCTACTTTCTCCTTTTTCATTTTTTTCATTATTTTCACTATTAGTGGTTCCACTAAATGCAATTGCAGCACAGATACCGTTGAAATGAACTCCATATTGTTTAATGCTGGATTTATGGTTTATACATAAATAGATGGTTCCAGATGAATTAATACATAAGAAATAAATTGGATTAAGCAGCTAGTTAACTTCTTTAATGTAATTTTGCTTGTAATCGACACTGTCTCATTATCAATACTTCACAATTTGTGACTTTACCACTGTTACAAAAGCATTCAGCATATAAGCTGGCTGCGCAATGTAATCAAATGTATCTTGTACCTTGAGTATTACATGCATGCATCAGCGTGCCACCGTATGTCACGCCCGCACTTTCAAACTTCCTAAGACATCATACATGCACAGGCACACATACGCACACATGTACGCGCACTTGCACGCACACACATACGCACACATGTACGCGCACGCGCACGCATGCATGTACACACACTTGCACGCACACATGTACGCGCACGCGCATGCATGCATGTACACACACTTGCACGCACACATGTACGCGCACGCGCATGCATGCATGTACACACACTTGCACGCACACATACGCACACACATGTACGTGCACGCGCATGCATGCATGTACACACACGTGCACGTACACACATACACCGTATAGGGATATGTTGGGCACCGCTTCATGTTTTGATGAGTGTTTTAGGCGTGTCGGTGTGTGCTTTGCAGGGGTGATCCACTGGACCTGAGTCGGCTGGCTGAGACGCTGGCTCGTGCGTGCTGCGTGGCGTTGACGGAGCATCTAGACATGCTGAAGGATGCTACAATGAGCAGACTTGGCCTGCGCGTCACCATCGACACAGAGAAGGTGAGCGCTACAACCATGTCTCACAGAAGGCAACCATATTTCACGTGTGGCAGTCGTATTTCACACAAGGTGGCAATGCTTTACGTTAGGTGGCTTTATTTCACGGTAGACACTTACCTTTTACATGAGAGCATATTGGCAACTAATTATAACATCTCGCCCTGGCTGGTGTTGTCTGTACAACTGATAAACATGCCTGCACGAGATATAATAATTAATAAAACCTTTGCAGTGTGGGTGTCTGTCTGAATTGTTTAGTGTGGCATGTATGGTACGTGTATCTTTGTAAACGTATTTCAAAGCTTCCAGGATTAGTTGTTTTTGAGAACGTATTTGGTCACGAATTAAGTCCCGTAATGGCTACTAACATCAGTGCAATACTATCAGAGTATGATGTACATTTGGCTGCATTGTGTAGTGTCTGTTATCTGCATGTTGGCTGGCAGTAGTGGGTCCTGGTTTAGCATAATGTTTGGCATGCCCAAATGTTGGATGGCTGTGGTGGGTCCTGGTTTAGCATAATGTTTGGCATGCCCAAATGTTGATGGCTGTGGTGGGTCCTGGTTTAGCATAATGTTTGGCATGCCCAAATGTTGGATAGCATAACATTTAGCATGGTCACATGTTGGCTGATGGAAAGCTGTCATTCCTCACTACAGGTTGGCTACGAGATTGGTTCGAATGGGATGACATTGTCACGAGACTACATGAATGACCTTGACACTCAGCTCATTCCTGTCATTCACCAAGCTGCATCCCAGAACCAGGATGGGCCAATCACGCTCGAGCTCATCTTCCACATCCTTGAATAAGCAGCCAGTAAGCATTTGTTATCTCATCGTGGTAGTCTTTGCTCTAGAATCTCGAAAACTTGATTTGATTTGTTGCGTCCAATTCGATTAACCAAATGTTTCCATTCTTGTCTTTTTGCAATTTTACGTTTCTGTTCTCATTGCAGGCATACGCTGATCTGACAGCATGTAAAGTGCATGTAGTTTTTACTGGAGAGTTTCTATCATTGTTGGTGAGATACCAACCGTGCAGTTAGAAGGGCACATCCATTTAATTGTAATAATTTATAGACGCTCAGTTTGCGGAATGGGTTTACTTTGTTTCCAATAAGGTGTCTGCTACTGTTTACAAGTACTTTGCGATTATAAAGCAAACACTCATAAATATATTTTAATTGATATATAATTTCGCGTTTTTAATCTTGCAGATTGAAGTCAGTAGAAGGTTCGAACATATACCAGAGTAGCCATACACTGGCTTGTCATCTTTCTATTCTTGTATTGGCTAGTTTTTCCTAATTTTCCTGCAGTAATAGTTTTGGCTGCGTGGTAGTTGAATATAATTAGTACATTTTGTTTTCTTGTCATTCGTTTCTCTACTCTGGGAAAAGTTGGCTGCACGAGTGCATTAGTCATAAAATATAATGATCCATTAAGACGGTGAATGTAGAAGCCATCAGGTTAAACGAAATATAAATCTGTATGTATATGAAGGTTTCGTCCGTTTACAGGTATAATTGATTGATACCTTATCTCCTGGGGAAGCTCAGATGCACGTCTATATTGTTAGCAGGGGCTGAATGGATATCAGTGGTCCCCTTATTGATAAATTATACTACTATGGGACTAATACAACAGGCTAACACTAACATAGGCTTATGATATATCTATTCTCCACCTACTTAGCTCACCTGTTATTTTGAGTTGACTGTGTTGCATTAACGAGTGCTGCGTTTATCTACTGCTTTACTGCCAGGGTTGATTTTTCGATCCCATGCGCAACGATACCACATAAATTCTAGTTGGCTCTTCTGAAAACGGGACAGTTTTTCCACACCTGATAAGCTTTAACTACGTGTATTTAATTAGGCAGCAAAATTATATATGCTAATTATATAATGATATCTAAGAAATGAACATTATCAGCCAGTGCTGAGAAAATGCACACAATAAGCCTAATCCTCAGTTCACATCTCTAACAGAACTAGTGTTTTCTTGACGTCATCAGTAGATCACATCATACAATCACATGTAGATAGAATCAGGAGCAGAGATGCCAACACATATTTGAAGCAATATGTAGTTTCTGGCCATTGAATTAGTAGATTGAGGGTCACTAGTGACTCGAGTTTGCTATGGGGGTCCGGCATGCCCCCCGGAAAATTTTTTGATTCTGAGATGCAATTTCCTGCATTCTGAGGGTCAAACATGACAATAAATTGACAACAAATGACAAGAATTGAAAAAAAAAATTTTTCCGATCACAGTGAAATTCGTAGTTTGATACAAACTGGTCGTAGTGGTGTAAAGGAATAGAAATTCGTATAAAATACGGATAAATCGTAGTGGTTGGCATCTCTGCAGGAGTAAATAATAACATGTTATTATTTACTCCTGATAAAATCAACCGATTATCGGAAGGCTTGTAATATCAGAGGCAAATGGGAAATTCGTGTCATTCTTGATAGCGGGTTGTGTTTACATGCGATTGCCACCATATATAAAAGGGTCATTTTATTGAAATAAACAAATGTATGCAATTATATTGTATAAAAATAATTAACAAAAACCTATTATCTGTGTTCAAGCATGTCAACCTAGACAAATTTATATATATATGTATATATATATCCGTATAATTATATCAATTCAGATTCAAGTGGTCAAAGGCAGTTTAGCATAGATATCATTATTATAATACATATACTGATTTATCCAGAGAAGTCCATCACTGGGAAGTAAGCAGCCAAAATTTATGATGATTACTTTGTATATAGAAAATTTATTTTACACATGTTAACATTTTGTTGCCTATATAATGCCAAATGTATAAAAACTCATTATTGTCAAAATATGGAACAGAAATTGTTGAATTATTTTACATCCGAGTTTTGTTGAGAATTGTAGCATATATACACCTAGTTTGTGTAGTAATGACATGCAGATTTTGAATTTTTTCACATTTTGTTGTGCAAGTACATGGTACTAGGCTTGAGCATGCTTTTGTGAATGGTTGCTGGAAATAACCGAAAATGTGAAAAACATGGCATTATAATTATAGCACAACCCTTTATACTTTTTGTGGTAGGTCAAATTTTACAAGTTCTCATTAGTTTTACTGGAATCATTTGTAGTAATTGGTCAACCAAATATCCTACCTATGCCTTGTTTACATGTCAGCACACGGATTTTAGCAGAGTTGCCTAATTATACGATTAAGATACCTAATTATTCTTGTTAAGCCCTATGATTGTATTATATTGTAACTGCTCTCTGCAACGTACACTTTTTAATTTCTCTTTTCATATTAGTGAAGGGAGATGTAAGTAAGTCAAAATTGACGATGCTTAGGGCGTTTCTAAGTTAGACTCGACCACTGTCGCTTGTGACATCTACGCTGGATGCTGGGTCCATCCTTAGTTCCTAGCTACACGTGTATCCTGTCACACTATGCCATGAAGCAAAAACCCCTCCAATTTTCTTTCTCACTCACTGTCGTGTCGCACTTAGTGATTATCCTGCTCGATCATTTGTGGTTTTTTTTATCTTGGTGCAAGTGAAACCAACCACAGTACCAGGGCCGTAGGCTGAGTAAATTCCTGGGGGGAGGGAGCAACATTTTCAAGATATAAATCACATGTAGGATAGGATTAGGCTGAAGGGATAACTGCGTTTTTGTGAGGTGTATTTTGTTGCATTATTTATGACATTTATTTTCGGGTTACATACAATCATTACCTAAGCTGGATTTGTTTATTTTGCTATAAACTCTAGGGGTGGTGGTAGCTTCTTCATTGCCCCCTCCCCTTCCAGATGCTACGGCTCCGAGTACAAGTGTCAGGGATGAAAATTTGTTTTATTGCTGGTCACATTCATTAGAGAATTGTGTATAAGTATTCCACTTAAGTTTAACTGAAGGTCTAGTTGGCTCTGAACCATATGGATATTATATTATAAACATGAGATATGTATATGTAGTTCGCAGCTGATGAAGTCAGGTTATATTCAAACGTGTAGCTGAGTTCTACCAATGTTCTTTTGAATGTGCAAATGCACACGAGCAGTAATCCCTTTCTGATATCCCGTTTGTCCGTAATAGTCCTCACAGTCGTTAGTGTTGGCACTAGTTTATAATTTGTGAGAAAAATCGGCTTGTGCTGGCAGCATTTTGAGCTATATTCCTCCTAGCCCGACCAGGCTGTGCGACGGATTGTCTATACATTATAGGTATTCTAACCCTAGCAATACCGTTTCTTGGAGCTATATTCCTCCTTACAATGATTCAAGCGGGGGTTGTGGCGGTGCATCAGTGAAACCACCTTTATAGAAAGGACACGTCTATAATGAACACTTCAGGTTTCCCTTGAGTAGCTCTTATATATACAGGTTTCAATGCATTAGATGGTGATTGATATTTTATATATATATATAGGTTAAATCTGAAAATCTACAGTTGCTGTGAGAAGATATAGAATCGTCTATTCTGATCATACTCTCCCTTGTGAAAACGTGTAAGATATTCCACCACTCCACTAGTGCAGGTAGTTACCAGATGTAAAAATATAAACTGGCAAGCAGATTCTCTTCATCTCTCTCTTCTCTAAGGATATAGCACCATGCACGAATTTGTTTCATGGAAGTTTTAATGCAATATATAGGCCAGCATATACAGCGTTGTCATGCTGATAACCCAACATAAGTCATCATCTCGCATTTATTATTAATCATATAAGCTATTGAAATCAAAACACAATTACCTGGATCTGGTTGTGGATAAGCAAGGGATTTGCAAATGTGATATGGAACGACTCCAGAGCCTGTACCTTGGAGACTGCAGACTTGCTATAGTATATATGGTATTTAATCTTTACAGTTATCGTGATTTGTTGATAAATGATGTATTTACAATGTAGATTAAGGTGGTATGGTAGTGACAGTGTTTGCTGTTACCAGCAGCCCAGAGACTGGTCTACTGACAACACTGCAGTAAATATTATCCAACTGCACTATTTTGTGTCACCATAAGCAGTTGTTAGTTAGATAATTATATGTTGATATAGTATATTATGTAAATTGTTTTGATGGGTGATGTAAAGGCACATTACTGTAGAATAATAAATTCCACTAATTCCACAGCGATGTCATATTTACTAGTTCATTGTCCCCTCTTTTTATAATGCAGTCTCTATGGCAATCGAATGCAATGCCACCATCATCGATGGTTGCGAAAGGTTAGTGTGCTATATATATATATAATATATATATATATATATAATAATAATAATATATATATATATAGTAGGTGTGTGGTGTGCGTGCGTGTTTGTGTGAATATAGTGGCTAAGCACAAACTATTGTAATGATAAAAAAATGTTTTATTCTAAAAACGATATTAAAAAAAGTTCAGCACAGTAAGTTATGCAAAATTTGCAGATCTCTGATGTAACATTAATTTGCCTGAGTGTGCATATAAAAGCAAGATGATGCAACTGGCAAATTTTTATCAAATCGGTATTCATATCTTAGTGCACCAAACTACAATAGTTCGACATTTATTGTCTCTATCTAGCGTGAGGAGTAAACAAGACAAGTGACAGGTACCCGTTGGACGGTGGCTTTGTGAATCTTTGGTGGCTGGTCCAGTCAACCAGAGGAGGGTAAACAGTTGTGTTAAACAGTACAGTAATTCATTCACTAATATTATACAGGGTACTACACAACTCCAGCCCAAAATCATTCCATACGACATGAGTAAGAAACCATAATTTTCCTGGTTCAATACAGTTACACTAAAGCATTTAGTTTATGCATTTCCACTGGTTAGTGATGATCAATACATCATATTTTCATGCCCTCGAATTCGACGAGCCAGCTGCATATCTTTTGGCATTATAGTTACCCGGTTGGCATGGATACAGCAAAGATTGGTATCCTCAAATAGATGCACAAGATAGGCTTCTGCTGCCTGAAATTAAGCAATGCATCTGAGTGAGACATAAAAAGCCTTGTTGCAGTCACGTCTACAAACCAGCACTGCCTTCGGTAACAGGAAGAAAAACTAACTTAGAGTGCACACAAAAAGGGAGAATGGTAAAAGAAATTGTCCGATGAGTAAATATTAAAAAATGCAAGATAAATTGAAAAAACAAGTCCGGTGTAATTATGGCGACGCATTTTGGAAATTTTGATATTTCCGATATCAAGGATGATTGTCTAAAATGATGCAAAATCAATATCAATAACTCAAATCAATAAAGGGCCAGGGAATCTTTGACTGTCCGTACACACTGGTGGGTTTGCATGTCAAACTAAAGTAAGGTACAGAAAAATACATCTTCATTTATCCAAGCTTGGATTTCTAAATGCAGAAAAACACTAGCCAAATGGATATACGTGAGATCAGTTGAGATCACTTCTTGAGATTGCACGACTTTATTCCAATACACAGTTTATGACACCGTTTTTAGCTCACCTTTACATCGTCAAGCTGAGCTATTGCCATGGGTCGTCGTCCGTCTTACGTCCGTCCGTCCGTCCGTCCGTCCGTCCGTCAACATTTCGCTACGGTCAACGATAACTCAGGAACCGTTTGACCCACATGTTTGAAATTGGGTATAGTTGTTACTGCTATGCTCCCATATTAAACGTCCTATTTTGAAGCACGCTAATCAACGTACTTTCGAGCCACGACAATTTTTCGGCAAAAATGGGAATTGCCATAATTAGTCAGTTCAGGTTCAACGGATTTTGCTCATTTTTGGTATGTGCATGAATAAGGGCTAGGGGTTTTGATATTAAAAAAAAAAAAAATACAAATTAGGTAAGATTTGGCTTGTCCCACCCATCTAACTTTGGTAACACCCATGGGATTGCCCCACCCAGGGTTCTCCCTACGTTGCGCAAACGGGGCGCGCGCGCCCCCTTTGAGGAAACTCCCCCCTGTTTCAATCGTTGCGCCCCGTTTAAATTACCTCCGCCCCGATTAAATTCCACCACAATAAAAGTTTGCCAGCGCGGGAATCGATCGTCAAGAAGTATCATTCGACCAGGACACCCGGCGCGTGTATTTTTACAGTACCACGCATGCACTGCAGACTAGTGATGTCACGATCATCGATTATACTCGATCATCGGTTGAACAGTGGCTCGAACCAAGCGCTTAGTGATGTCACGATCATCGATTATACTCGATCATCGGTTGAACAGTGGCTCGAACCAAGCGCTTGGTTATAAAAATCAATAATCGATTTCATCGGGAAAAAAAAAAATCCTTTAGTTATCCTTTATTAACATACATGTATTATACACACAGTAGTAAACAGTGCAAAACAAACAGTAAACAGGGCTATAAACAAGCACATACATGCACACACGTACATGCGCCCGACGTTGCGCACACGCAGGCATACAACACCCCGAGCAACCGATTGTAACCGATCATCGGTTACTTGGGTCCAACTGATGATCGATTACGAAATTACAACCGATTGACAACACTACTGCAGACAATACACAAGTACAAACAGTCAACCTGTCCCACACCCAACACTAACTGTACACCGACTCGGCTATCTTATATATACAAGAACCCCAAATACCGTCTATGGTGTGGTGGCGATTTTACGCATTAATTAGTGGTACGGTAAAAAAACGCCCCCCTAGTTCCCCCCCCCTCCCCTCCCTTGTTTGAATTTCATCCTGGGGAGAACCCTGCCACCCATCTAACTTTGGTCACACCCACAGGATTGTCCCACCCATCTAACTTTGGTCACACCCATGGGATTGTCCCACCCATCTAACTTTGGTCACACCCACAGGATTGTCCCACCCATCTAACTTTGGTCACACCCATGGGATTGTCCCACTCATCTAACTTTGGTCACACCCATGGGATTGTCTGACTCATTGCAACTGCTGACATAAACCACTAAATATCACCAATGTTTTACCCAGTTAACCAAGGCCACAATTAAAAAAATGGCTGAAAAGTTTGGGTAGGTAGGTAGGCTTCTTATTTGAGGGGGGTCTTTTTACAAATTCAGCATGGTGCCTACATGCTCGGGTGTGCTTGTGTGGAGATACCTTTTATGTTTGTTTTGCTTGGTACATACAATGTATTGCCGACATATTTATATAATGTACAATGATGCAGTTTGAAAAAAAAAGAAAAAAAAGAATGGGAAAGATCACTAAAAATGTATGAGTCGCCGGGTCGACTTCTTGCCGGGTCGGTCGGGCGAGGGCAAACAAACAATATTTTTATTATGGCCCAAGCGCATAAAAGTAAAATATCAACTCTTTTTGATCCTTGTCTTTAAAAAACAGCAAAAGTTTAAAAAAGAAGAACTAATGAGACTACCACAAGGTGAAACCAGTCGTTCATTGCTAGCATTTTTCATGGAAACTGATAGCTAACCCAGTGCAACTACACTATTTAGTACTACGACAGGTATATATATATTTCTGAAATGTTAATAATCAAGTTATGAATCAAGTTAATAAAGTTATAAAATTACCTCTTGTAATGCCCGTATAGCATTTACTTCCCATCTCCATCCAATGCCACCATGACTAAGGGCTAATGCGATCTCTCTGACCTGTAAAAAATCCATCCAACCATCTCTAGATTTGCGGCAGAAGAATGGTAGCCTAATGGTTAGCACTCAAAAGTTTTGACTTGTTGTGTTATATTTGTGGATTGGTTAGTTTCTTCAAATTGAAACCCAATAGTAATAATAGACAATATAAAACTTCTATACCACTCTCGCAAACGGCAACTTCCTCATCAGAACAGTCAAATTGTAGCTGAATTGCTTATAATCACAAAGCACATTTTATAATAAACTTATTAAAAACCTATAAATACAAATTATTGTAAAGATGTTAACAGAAATGTCCTACTAATTCTTTTTATATCCAATAACATGTGTCAATAAATCAGATTGTGGTTATATAATGAGCTTCAATGATCAATGATGAGTTTTAAATGTGTGAAAATGTCATATTTATGGATTGGTTAGTTTCTTCAAATTGAAACCCAATAGTAATAATAGACAATATAAAACTTCTATACCACTCTGGCGAATGGCAACTTCCTCATCAGTAGACTAGTTGTACTTTGGAACCGCCGTATTTCCATCAGAGCTCTTGTCCCTGGTCGGTATCGATGTGGTTCTGAAATTTATAAACTTGTAATCTCTATGTATTGATAATTCATTCGTTATGAAAACATTTTATCTGACTCAACATACATAATGCAAAATATTCTGAATCGCACTTGCTTGAATCGCATGCATTCACTTATACACCGGTGAAACTTTTTTCTTGCATATTATGCACATGTGCACTAAGACTATAGCATAAACATATGTCATCATGTAGAGAATGAATCTGAGTCTAAATTGAAAATATACAGTACTACTTCAGATCAATGAAATAGCGTTCCAATAACAAACATCTATAATGCAAAATCACATAACTTATACCACGTTTCCTCATGGACTTCTGTTATATAATTGGAGATATAATTGGCATATTGGCATTTTTACAACATAGATTTCAGCCAAGTCTCCCAAGCAACCCCCAGTCTCCCGTTATATAGAAGCACAATGATGAATGCAATAATACAATGTAACAAATAATTATGTAAGAAAGTAACATTATAATACTACTGGGATGGAAAGGATGTTCTGAATAAGAATTAGTACCATGTATCTTGAGTAAACTAAACATAGGTGTGATTGCAAGAAAATGCACATATTGCACATGTAGGTATTTTTTCTCTGGGCAAGAGCACATCAAATTTGCTAGTGGCACATTTTAAAGCTGGCTCACCTGACTTGTTAGCAGATATACCCGCATATATGTAATACACTAACTTCATTGAATGACAATGATTAAGACATTTTTAGGCGATAGACAAACTAGCTCATTCATTTAAAAAAAAATAAAAAAAAGCAAATTTATGTTTCATGTTTCATTTCTTGAGTATATTCAGGGTGCGAAATTAACGCGAGTCCGGAGTCAAATACTCCTTGATTTACTGTCGGACTCCCTGATTTGACATATATGCAGGAGTCCGTGTGACTCCCTGAAAATTCTGCTATATACTAACTAGTTCGTTCCAGAGCACGGCCTCGCGGTATTACCGTATTTTTTCAGCAAATGTCCAAAGAAATTTGGCCGACGTGCAACCGCACGAATCTTCAAAATAAGCACATGCGTTATTGTTAATATCGTTAGTTTTGAACTTCAGACTGCGGACTCCCTCATTTTGCTGCGGACTCCCTCTTTTTAAAGGCAGGGAGCAGGGCTCGAATTAACCGACGGCACCGACGGCAATTGCCGTGGGTGCCCTAATCAATCGCCGTACTGCCCCTGAAAATTCAACCCGACCGACGGCAGTGCCCTGCCTTGCCCTTTTCTGTAATTGCCGTCGGTGCCTCTGGCTAGACTGGTTCGCGGCCGCACTGTTTGTCGCAGAGCGTGTACATTGTCTAGCAGAGCGTGAGGCCGGATACCAGTCTACCCTACCACGGGCAGCCACGTTATTGTTTTTGCCGAACCACGTGCAGCATTTAAATATTCGTGTTCGCGCTTTAAATCGCGCGCGGGCCGAGTTTTCTCTAAATTTACTGCACTAACTAGCAAGCTACACACCGTACAAGCTGGCCATTCTTGCGCGAGCGTCGTTTACCATTGTTATGAAAAACCTTGTGTCATCGTATGAATTCTACTAAAATTAACTTTTTATTTCACTAGACCATCGGGCTAGTAACTGAGGAAAACCATTAGCCCTGACCTAACTTTCACTAGCCCAGACCCAGACCTTGTTGAACCCTGTTACTGTACTTCGATCCATTAGCAGAGGGGGTATAGGGGTCGGTGTTACG